GTACGGCACCAGGAAGAATAAAGGCCGATGATTACAGTCCCTGGTCACGGCTTAAAGCCCTTTCCAGAAAGCCAGAAGAGCATACTTTTCCAGGTGGTATTAGAGACTCTTGAAGGTGCCGTGTGGTTGATATGGATTCTCAAAGGGAAAACGTTTGATAGAAATAGAACAGAGACAGGGATGAGAAATCAAACCAAGTCCCTGGATGTCAGTGTAGAACTCTGAAGTTTTATGATTTTAGTTCTGCTGCTGGCACCAAGATCTGTAAGTAGATGGAAAAAAAAAAAAAACACTCAGAACTGAAGAGGGAATAGCCCTCTGTTTTCTCACTTTGGCCTCTGAGTGCCCTTGGCTTGCCTGCTGCATTTTCTGTTTCTCCTTCCTGAAGTGTGTAGAATTTCTTTCCATGCTGCGTATGTGTACTCTTCCTGATGCGATACCTAGCACATTTCCCACTGCTGAACTCCAAAAGGGATGTTTTGGCCTGAAAGAATTTTGGTATAATATTTATTGCCAGGCTAACTTAAATTCATGTGAAAAGCATTAGTTACTGCAAATAGCAAAATAACCTATAATGAGAATCCTACTCTGATTTAAAATGGAAACATATCTCATGGCTAAAGAATCTGCATGTTACCTTGGAATTCGAAAATGTATTCATTCCTAAGAATTCTAATTTTTCACGCCTATTATCTAATTTTGTCGCATAGCGTCACAATTCATAGTGGGAGTTGGAGCATTTAAATGATTTCTCTTCTATCACATAATTTTAGAGGAGATGTATCAAATTTTGAATCTAATTATGCCAAGGTCTCTTAATATACGGGGTTTCAAACTTATTGATGCCTGTATATTTACAAGCAAATGTGGTTGCTTAAAAATAGGCAATGTCATCTAACGTTTTATTATTATGATTTAGAGGAGAACCGAACAATCTAAAAATAATGTTTTCTTAAGCCAGTTTTATCTTATCTTTAATCTCTCTCCCTCTGACTACAGTCAGCATCAGATCCTCAAAATAATTCACGTCTTAACATCCCAGCAAGGCTGAAAGAGAGAATCCGTGAACTTGCTCTCTTCCAGTGTCCTCAAAACACCAGACATAACCTCTGAAGTTTTTTCCTCCGGTATATATGACATTTATAAAAAATACAATGTGTTAAGGGAAGGAGTGTCTAGCAGATTTCGCCCTCTGCCCTCGACTAAAAGAATATCATTTGCTCCATGTGAGGCCCTGTAGTGAGTAATGCCTGGCTGAATGCCTGGGAATGAAAGCCCTTCACTGGAGTTTATCATCTCTTCCCGCTCTAATACTTGATTGTGTTCAACGGTCGTTTAGGAACACACAGTTACCTGTATTTTCAGCTATGTGATAAAAATACCTCTAAGAACAAATTTTGCGAATTCTGCCCTAGTTAACAAAAATAGAGTAAACCCCAGGCAAAGAGCTCCCTCCTCTCAAACCGCAGCCTCCTTCATCTGTAACCTATGGCGACCTTACCTCTGGCTTCCATGCCCTCTGCCATCTTTACTCTGTAACTGCCACTACCTCTTACAAACTTCAAAGGATCTGACCCAATTCACATTGTTTATTCACATTGGTTATTTACACTATGGGTGATACAAAGCGTGTTTACTTATTCAAAGGATTTTCTGCCTTAGCAAACTGGTTAGGGAATTGGGGGTTGTAGGAGTGGGAAGGCTTTGAAAAGCAGTCAGATTTAGTCATTTAGAGTGAAGATGAGGTCCGAACCCAAAGATGTCTACTCCCTGTTCCCTGGGGAGGTAGATCAGCCGGCAGTCTGATTCTGAGGGGTTTTGAGTGTAGAAGAAAATCTCTCCCTACTCTGAGCCTTGGGGTGCCCCAGCACGGGCCGGGCCTGTCTGCACGCAGATGTGCTGTCTCCAGCTCATCCTGTCCACCTGTCCCCAGCACAGGGACCTGCAGGAGGTGTGTGTGTGTTTGTTCTCTGAATGATTGAAATTTGATTTGTATTTATTAGAGCTTTTTAAAATAAAATTAGAACTTCCCTAACCTATCTGATATAATTTCAGACAAAGAACTATGCCCCTAGGATATATTTCCTTCACTAATTACTTTATTACTAATAAAGTATTAGTAATAAATAATATATAATAAAATAATATTTTACTTATATAAATATATATGATATAATAGTAATAATAATAAATAAAATGATAATATTACTAATTACTAATATGACTTCACTTAGATCTTGAATGCCTTTTTATACCTTTCAGATAAATGTGTTGGAATTTTCCAGGAAACTTTTAATGGGCTGGTCATCCATTTGAAATCAGTGACCAGAATTAAGTCAGTATTTTCATCGTGACATTTTTCTGCAAGTCAAACTATGGAATCATTTTCAACCAATAATTTCAGTAGGAATTTATAGAGCACCTACTAAGGGTCAGGCACTCACTGATGATAAACAAGAAGCCAAATCCAGAGGAGGGGAATCAGCCGCAGTCATTTCATTTCAGGGCCCATCCTGTAGAAATCCAACACGCTACTTTTTTAATACTTCATAAGAATGTAATTTATTCTGGAATCAAATTATGGGCCATTTTGAGTTAAGACACTAAAAAATAAAACATAGAAGCATAACTTTAGACATATTTTTCAAACTTAACTGTACACATCAAAAGAAAGTACTTTCAATACTTTTTCCCACTTTGCCAATTGTACATGCTACAATGTAATTTACAGTTTTCTTGATTAATCCTCCGCATTCAAAAAGAATGGGTAAGTCTTAATGTCCCTTGAACGTACTGTAATAATTTTTACTTTTGTGCCTTTCCGTGCTAGACCCTTCGCCTCATGAAAGCAATGATTGTGTATCTTGTTTATCTTTGAATCTCCAACTCCTAAAACACAATGCCTCCTGCTTAGCAGTGCTTAGTACCTTTCCTGGAAACTTCCCCCACCTCCCCACCGAAGCTTTCTTCAGGTTCAGTTCAAGCCCTGCATCCTCTAACAGACTCTCCCTGATGCAGATATTCTGCTTGGTATGGTATATCACTATGTCAGTACCTAGGCAACTAATTTGCACGCTTTTCAGATACTTTGGCCTTAAATGTATTTTCATTGTGTTCCTCTTGCCCCCTAATTTGTGTTCTACTCACTCCTATTGTTAAGCCCCCATCCCCAAATGCATTTAATGCAGTAGAATGTACATATAAGTATTCAGTGAACTCCTGTAGAATAGATGAGCAATTAATCATGGTTACTATTCATTCATTCAACAAACGTTCATGGAGTTCCCTGACGTCATCTGGGAATGGCCCGTCCAGTATTGGGTGGACAAACACCCCTGTGCTCTTGGAGCTTATTCTCTACTAGCAAGAGATAATCAAGAAAACAAATTAATGAATAGATGAGGAATATAAGGCTGTCAGGTGCTGGTCAGAGCCATGATGAAAATAGGTATGTGCAAGGGTGTGACTAGAGACTAAAACATAAAAAAAATACAACAAACAGTTGGTGATGGCCTCTTTGAGGAGTTAACAGTTGATCTGAGACCCGAATGACAGGTAGGACCCTGTTATGGAAAGATTTCAAGGAAGAGCCTTTGAAGTGGTATAGGGCACGAACAAGCTTGATATGTTGGTTTGAGGGTAGTGATGAAGACGACTTATATTTAGAATATTAGGGGTTTGAGATGCTGCTAAATGGAATGAAGATGTCCTGTAAGCAATATGGGTTGGAATTCTGGTTGGGGAGAGAAAGGAATGGGGGCAAATATAAAGACTAGTATATGGTACTTGTCCAGCACGACTGGAAGAGATTAGTACCTACTGGGACAGTGTAGCCATAGAAAGGATGGAAACCCAGGACTGCGTCACAGACATGTCAACATTTTAGAGTAAAGCCAAAGAATCTATTTAAGGAGAGCACAAAGCAAATTAGGAAGAAACCTAGGAGAAAATCGTGTTGAGAATGGATTGGAAGAATGAGAGAACAGTCAAGTGCGTTGAATGCTGTTGAGAGGTCTCATAAAATGAGAGTGAAAACTGAGTTACCAATACAGGAGTCACTGTGATTTTTACAAGAGCCATTGTAGTGGCATCGTAGATATGGACATAGCCTATTTGGAGTGGAGACAGCAAAAGTTAACTATTTCAAGAAGTTTTATTGGGAAAAGGAATGAGGAAATTGAAGCTTGAAGAAGATTGGGGGTTAAAGGAGGAATTTTTTGTTTGATTTTTAAAAGAGAGTTACAAGAATATGGTTGTAAGTAATGGGAATAACTAAGTATACAGGGAGAAATGGATGAGACAGAAAAGAGAAAGTAAAAATGCAGAAGCAAAGGCCTTGAAAAGTTAAAAGGGGTTGGCTTCCAAAGCACAGGTGACACAGTTTTTGAAAGGTGCGGGGAGTGACTATAAAAATGAAGACTATTTCACAATACAGAAATATTTTTGTGTTAAAATGTTGAGAAACTAAAGCAGGCCAGGTGGAGCCTCATGAATGTGCTGACTTGGGGCCATTTTTGACCTGCAAAAATAACACTTTTCTATAGCCCAAACTTATAATGATGTGCATACATAAAATATCTTAGAATATATAAATTGAAACAGTTGGTGAGTTCATGAATGTTTTCAGTTTCTCTTTTTTCTAAATTTTGTGAAATGTTTTCACATAATTTTAGAACAAATAGAAGGGAAATACTAAATGCCTCTTAAATTGAATATTGCCTGTTTCAGCTTAGTCTTTAGGTTAAGTCATAACAAATGCCGAACAGAACAGGCAAAGACAGAAGCAGATCAATGTAATTATTCTAGTTTTATCTGAGCCTCTGTGTTCTGTTCGAAAGGATTAAGACATCTACTACACACTTCATGATTCCTTAGGATCTTGGTTTCTTAGTGACTCAGATGTAAAAAATTTTAAATTAAAATGAATCCATGTGTCTTGTAAGATTTATCTGTAAAAATGTGTCCGTGGGCTTAAATGTTGGTGTTTTCTTTTGTCCCAGGCTTATTTATATTTATCTTCCACTGTGCTATGAAGGAGAATGTTCAGAAGCAGTGGAGGCGGCATCTCTGCTGTGGGAGGTTCCGGTTGGCAGATAACTCAGGTAAAGGGGCCTGTGGGTGTTCACATCTAAGAGGAGTCGGAAACGTCTGTCACTGGGTCTTCCAGTCAGAGCAACCCAGTCCCAATGGTGGCAAGATGTAAAGGCGGAGTCTTAGTGTATTAGGACTGCACGAGATCTGAGGACTCTGGGCCCAACCCTCCTATTCTGCAAAGGAGAAGCATGAATTCCAGACGGGTTAAGTGAGTTGCCCAAGGTTATGTGTCTAATTTAACAACTCAGATATCCAGAGGTTCCACACCTTTCCACATTTTTGAGGTCCTCAGTTACATTATTAGGGAAAAAGATTTTTCTCAATATAAAAAATACCTGAAGAGGGCCAGCCTGGTGCCATAGTGGTTAAGTTTGCCCTCTCCACTTCAGCGGCCTTGGGTTTGTGGATTCGGATCCCGGGCACCGACCTACGCACTGCTTATCAAGCCATGCTATGGCAGGCGTCCCACATATAAAGTAGAGCCAGATGGGCACAGATGTTAGCCCAGGGCCAATCTTCCTCAGCAAAAAGAGGAGGATTGGCAATGGGTGTTAGCTCAGGGCTGATGTTCCTCACACACACACACACACACACACACACACACACACACACACAAAATACCTGAAGAAAAGTAGTATTTTTTTTTTTCATCAGTGGTTACTTCTCACCCTTAGGATATTAAAGTAGGATTTTAAACAATATGTACACAAGGTCAAAGTAAGAAACTTCTCTATTTCTTCAGTTTATTACTGTTTACACGTCAATCTCTTCTCTGAGCCATTGCCAGTATATCAGAAAATCAAATGCTCTGGACAAATTACTTAAATAATGTGATGATGGTTCTTTAGGGTGGAACATATTCCCCCTAAAGCAGATTCATGGGGAGATGTCATTTCTTTCAGACTGGAGTAAGACAGCTACCAACATCATCAAGAAGAGTTCCGATAATCTCGGAAAGTCTTTGTCCTCAAGCTCCATTGGTTCCAACTCAACCTACCTTACCTCCAAATCGAAGTCCAGCTCTGCCACATACTTCAAAAGAAATAGCCACACCGGTGAGTCATTCCAGCCATGGTGAAGATGTTCTTTGATGTAATTCTCCTTATGTTTTCATGGCGAAAATTGGCATATCATGAAGACTGATAGATCCCATTGCCCATTCGGGTGCTTATTTTAGATTTCTGAAAATCAAAATCTGTTTGAAGACTTTGTCCAGCACCTTTGTGAATATTTTGTTGTTTTTTTTTTAAATTTTACAACCAAAATTGAATCTACGTAGCCATAATATCAACTCTGAATATTATGATAACTTCGTTTGATTCAAAACAGTTTTCTTAAAAAGTTTGGTATCTTGTTTAAAAAGCTATGTGTTTTTATTTTAAAATATAGAAATTGAGCTGCAGATTATTTCAACAAAGGTTGAAAGTTACTTGGCAAATTGGCAACAAACAGGAAGAAACACCATCCAGGATTTATGTTACATTTAAAACTTAAGTCCTTAATAGGGAGCAATATACTTGAAAAGTGACACAGGATGGTGAGAAACATCATGTCTTTGTTCCTCTCCTGTATCTTCATGATGTTTACAGTGACCCACCACACACTCTGACTCTGAGCATGTGGATGAACAATCCTGAAGACGACATGGAAACAAAGACTATTTTGCAGTACTTGATAGCCAGTGAGTGGTGTGAAAAGGTGTAATCTTTTAATAATTTCAGAGGGAAATAGCAGAATTGCTGCTTTTAAATACAAATGCAACCTCAAGGAAACAGCTGTCAACACTTTGCACCCAGAACTTTCCTAATTAAAGACGCTCTAAAAGGATAGTGGAAATAACTTTCTAATTTTGAATTTGTTTAGCTATTAAACATAAGCAGAGGTTAATGGCACAGAAGAGATTTTTATTGGTCTTTTTGCAGATCGAGAGTGTGTTGTATGATGTGTCTATAACTGTTCACATTGCAAACACTTGAATTTCAAATGACCCTTATGTCCTTTTCAATCCTTCCACCTGCCCTGCCTGCACCACTGTCTGTGCCTTGCAACCAGAGTGGCCACTGCCTGGGATTCAGGATAGCGTCGTGGAAAAAAGTTTGAGTCTTTAGAGAGTTTGTTAATTCCAAAATTAATTAAAGAAAGATCCAAAACCTTGAAGCAGTTTAGGACAGCTGTGCTTAAAGTTTTTTGGAGTCAAGGATATTTTTGAGAAGCGAGTAAAAGCTATGGACTCTCTTCCAGAATTAGGTGCAGCCTTTGAGTCCTGTACACAAACAATTTTGCCTAAAATTAAGAGGTCTGTGCACCCCTGCTTGAAATACCTGTGTAAGAAAATTGATAACAGGTGTATAGTCTGAGTGAGAGTCTTCTACCTAATTGGTAGTTCCCTGGCACAAAATATCTTTTACTTATAATGAATGAGTTTTTCACGTTATTTAGTCAACCTTAAAATTAGATACTCATTTTGCCTCCCCTTCTAAAATGCAAATAGTAAATGCATTGTAAGTCAGTTATGAATGAGTAGGGATTACTAGACCAATTGAATTGTTTTCTCTTAACACAGCTGAGAATAGCTAACCTGAAGAAATGCCACTATTAAAAGGGGAGAGAAGATAACATGGTAGATAATTTGGAACAGGGAGCATTTTGGAAGTATTAACAAAATATTGGGCGGTGTTAAGGAGCATGGGGAAAACTGACTAGAAGATAAGAAATGGAGAAACCAAAGAAAAACTTTACTATTTCAAAATTTCAAGTGTGTGTATGCGTGTTTAAAGAGTGCATTTGTGTTTTTTCTGTTTCCCGTAACAAAACCCTTCGGGTTAAATAGGTTCTTGTCAACTAGTGTAAGGATCTAGTCAGCTATATGACATTACTTCTGTGAAATAATAAATTCTGGTTTCCAATTAAGTCACACACAAATAGCCCTCTGCTACCTGGCTAGTTCTCAGTGGGACTGGGATGTACTTAGGTCACTTGGAGTATGCAAAAATCACTGCATATCATGGATATCTAGCTGGTTTATTTCTTGGAATTGATCTAGAAATTCATATGTTTGTGGTGTAGATAATGTCTTCTAAGAGCATTCCTTCAACAAAAGTGGATCATTCAGGTAAACTTTTATTACTTTTTGAATGCATGAATTTTTTGCAAGGTAATAAGAGAATATTTGCATGGATTGAGCTAAGACTCTTGCTGCACCAGCAAAATTGCTTGTTTTTTTTACTATACTTCTCAGCTAGCACAATGACATTTCTGCATTGAGCTGGAATTTCTGAAATTTCAAATGGTTGTGTGCTGTGCTGGCTCTTCTCTGCTTGGGGGTGTCTGCAAGCTGCTCTTTCTAGGAAATGTACCATGTTCTGGAGTGAGTGGGTCACATATCAGGTAAAATAACAAAAAAAGCAGTACTCGAGAGGTTTGTTACAGAAAGGAGTGAAATTGTTTACTTTTCCACTGCTTTTATGGATTACTGAATATGTCATGGTACATTCATAGAAGTCATAAAAGAAAAATTGTCAATTCTAAGCGTGCTTTTTGAAGATTTTTATCTGCTTGAAATTTCAGCATAGGTCAAATTATAGTTCATTTCCCTAGCCCCTGGTTTTCAAACTTGCAGCTATAATCAAAATCTCTATTTCCCATGATGTAATATCTAAACAGAGGGCTGGGAATAGCATGTATATTGAAATACAGCCCTTGCTCAGAATTTTACTTTATTGGACTGTGAGACCCAGAAAATTGGGTCACATATTTGGAATGAAGCTGGTCTACTCTCTAAAAAGTACACGGAAGTTGTCAACGAAGCAGAATGAGTATCACCTGACAGTTGCTTTGAGGTTGTGTGGTTTTCTAAAAAC